TCTTTACAAGTGATTTTATATACTTGTGTTGAAAACTGTTTAATACGACTTGCTTTGTTTCAACTTGTCAATACTTTATATAAGATTATTCAAGTTTGTCATCATTTAATTAAGCAGGCAACTTTCTACAGATTGGTCATTTTCAATTTCAAAGAAGTCACACTAAAATTAATATTCCAAAGATATTGTAGATGCAGATAAAAAAAATTATTCAACTTGAACTATTAAAATTTAGTTTAAGTACTTCTCTTTTCTTGTTGCGTAACACTTTGTCAGCTATTAGAAGAATTCTTTGGCAGGTCATTGGAATCCCTTTGTCCTCATGTGATACAATATGAATAATAAAAAAAAAGATAAATTCTTCTACATTTTGTACCAAAAAACTTATCAAAACATGATTACGGTAGTTAACCCTTCAGATCATGGCAGTAAGTCACTTTGAATTCATCACACCACAAAACTTTGATGTGCTCTTGGTTCTTTCTGCAGAAAAGCTATTAAGGGTTGTCCTTCTGACACAAGGTTCTTTTTATTTTTAATGAATGATGCCAGACAATCGTTCTGTGATGCAGCCATTTAAAGAAAGGTTGATATGGTTGTCTTCAGCCAAATGGTTAAGGATGTAGACTTCCAACTTTTTAGCTCACCTTGCACAAAGTGCAGGTGAGCTTTTAGGATGGCCAACCAAATGGCGTCCGTCGTCAGTCGTCCGTCCACATTTTAAATATTCTAAGAACATCTTCTGTGATACAGCAAGGCCAATGTTAATGAAACTTGGCAGGAATACTCTTTGTATGAAGCTCTATCAAGATTGTTCAAAGAATTCCATTTCATGCAGAACTCTGGTTGCAATGGCAACCGAAAGAAAAATCTTTAAATATCTTCTTTTAAAGAACCGTAAGAGCTAGAGCTTAGATATTTGGCATGAAACATCTTCTAATGAGTGTCTACCAAGTTTGTTCAAATAAAAGCCCTAGGGTCAAAATTGGCCCCGCCCCAGGGGGTCATTGATTTTCCCTATATGCATATAGTAAAAACTTAAAAAATCTTTTTTTAAAGAACCCAAAGAGCTAGAGCTAAGATATTTGGCATGAAACATCTTCTAGTGAGTGTCTACCAAGTTTGTTCAAATAAAAGCCCTGGGGTCAAAATTGGCCCAGCCCGGGGGGTCATTGATTTTCCCTATATGCATATAGTAAAAACTTAAAAAATCTTCTTTTAAAGAACTGTAAAAGCTAGAGCTTAGATATTTGGCATGAAACATCTTCTAGTGAATGTCTACCAAGTTTGTTCAAATAAAAGCCCTGGGGTCAAAATTGGCCCCGCCCCAGGGGGTCATTGATTTTCCCTATATGCATATAGTAAAAACTTAAAAAAACTTCTTTTAAAGAACCCAAAGAGCTAGAGCTAAGATATTTAGCATGAAACATCTTCTAATGAGTGTCTACCAAGTTTGTTCAAATAAAAGCCCTGAGGTCAAAATTGGCCCTGCCCCAGGGGGTCATAGATTTTCCCTATATGCATATAGTAAAAACTTAAAAAATCTTCTTTTAAAGAACCCAAAGAGCTAGAGCTAAGATATTTGACATGAAATATCTTCTAGTGAGTGTCTACCAAGTTTGTTCAAATAAAAGCCCTGGGGTCAAAATTGGCCCCGGCCCGGGGGGTCATTGATTTTCCCTATATGCATATAGTAAAAACTTAAAAAATCTTCTTTTAAAGAACCAAAAGAGCTAGAGCTAAGATATTTAGCATGAAACATCTTCTAATGAGTGTCTACCAAGTTTGTTCAAATAAAAGCCCTGGGGTCAAAATTGGCCCCGCCCCAGGGGGTCATTGATTTTCCCTATATGCATATAGTAAAAACTTAAAAAATCTTCTTTTAAAGAACTCAAAGAGCTAGAGCTAAGATATTTAGCATGAAACATGTTCTAATGGGTGTCTACCAAGTATGTTCAAATAAAAGCCCTGGGGTCAAAACTGGCCCCGCCCCAGGGTGTCATTGATTTTCCTTATATGTGTAAAGCAAAAACTTAAAAATCTTCTTTGAAAAATCCCAAATAGCTTGAGTTTAGATATTATACATGAAACATTTTTAAGTAAATATCTACAAAGTTTGTTCAAATAAAAGCCCTGGGGTCAAAACTGGCCCTGCCCCAGGGGTGTCATTGTTTTTAACTATATGTGTATAGTAAAAACTTAAAAAATCTTCTTTTAAAAAACCCAATGACCTAGAACTTAGATGTTTAGCATGAAACATCTTCTTATGGGTGTCTACCAAGTCTGTTCAAATAAAAGCCCTTGGGTAAAATTGGCCCGGGGGGGGGGGGGGGGCTATATATACAGGTGAGCGACCTCAGGGCCATCATGGCCCTCTTGTTTTTTCTTGCCCCCTCAGCACTGCTGTGGGTTCGAATCCCAACAGGAACTTTGAACTCTTACATGTGAGGAAAGTATCCAGCTCCCTTACAGTACTAGGGTGATTCTACTCAGATTCCCGTTTGTGCCTGAAATAATGCAGAGATGAAATGAGGTCTTCCTCCACCAAAAAAGTTGCCATATGACCTATATTGTGTTGGTGCAATTTAAAATGCCCAACCCCAAAAGTAAAGGTTGACAGGCATGCTTGAAATTTACCCAACATGGCAGATGGTTATCTGCATGCAGCTTTTCTGAAGCCTGTTAGGTGTGGAAAAATTCAGAGATATACTGGTGTATTTGTATGGCATTGTATACATTTCAGGGATTTTTTTTTTCTTTTTGGCTTACTTTATAGCCATTATTCGGTCATATTTCCAATTGAAAATAATATATGACTTTCCCAATCCACTGGAAAAAATTCCCAATTAAAAGTTACAAAATAAAAATGTTGAATAACAAATTCTAAATCTTGGATAATAAGGGCTTCTTCACTGTTAAGTATTATGGTGTGATTTTTTGCATTCATTAATTTTAATCACTGCAAAATTTAAGTCATGCATTTTCTCCCACTTTGCAGAAATTCCAAATTCCATGGGTATGTGTCATGTTCCCAAAATCCTGAAAAAACAAACAAAACAACCTGCATTTTATTTTGATTTGAAGCTGTTGATAGATTTATGCATTTAATTTTGATTTGAAGCTGTTGATAGATTTATGTATTTAGATCGCTGAAAAGCCACTTTTACGCCAGTAGAATATTGTTTGTTTGATCTTACAGTTGCCAGGCAGTTCTGCTGTAATTAGACAAAAGTTACACTTTTCTTTCTGTTAAAGAGTTGCTTTTTAACAGTGTATTTAACTTGTGATATGACATGTACAACTTATTTTTGGTAATATGGTAAGCATTATTATGAGCTGACAATTCAGTGTCTATTCTAGGGTTCGAAAAACGGTGGGGATTTTTATCGAAAAGTGAGAATTTATTACATTTATTGATCTTTTTCGTTCTTTCTATAGGTAAAATTTTCCCCCTGCCTCTCAAAACATAGCGGGAATCCCCAAAAATATGAGTGAATCCCCCCTCCTAGAATAGACACTGAAGTCTGACAAGCTGATTTGTTGATTTCTTCTGGTTCAAAAAATGTTTTTCTCGAAAAAAATTACTATTTTACATATAGGCTTCTTCTTTGTTTAGAAGTGTTAATTTTAGAAAACGAAGAAGTTATGCCAATAATATTTGGAGCAAATGAATTATTCTTAACATTCTTACTGTGTTACAAAAAAAAGTTGTTTTTTTTTAATATGATGGGCTTTGATAATTATTATATGAAGTTTTATTATTTTATTCTTTACAAAGCTTGTTTCAAAATTTCAGCTTATGTATTAAATATTCATTTCTCATCTTTTAAAGTGACATTATGCTCATCTTTTAAGCTTTCCTATTGAGTTTAATTTGTAAAATATTATGAAAGATTTAATTTGCAACATATTAAAAAAGATTGGTCATGTGGATTATTGATCATTTGTTCATAGTATAATATAAAATTTACAAAATTACAACAAAATGACCAAGTTATTTTGATTTTTACCTAGTCACTGAACATTTGCACTCGGATGAGCATAATGTCACTTAAAGTACAGGGTCCATTGTTTTGCAGCCATCTTTGATGGAGAGTCTATTCCAAAATTTATGTTCAGATTCAATCAATTAGGTGCTCGACTGTTAGAATGACATGTCTCTAATTTAAAGTTTTATTACCTAGGGCCTGAAGGTGTAGCAAGTCCAGTATTGCTCCCCTCAAGTTGAGACACTGCACCATTGGACTGAGAAAATTACATCTAATTCATTATAACCTTCACACAGTAACACTTAAAAGATTTGTAAATTGTCCACGAAAAGATTGAAAGAAAGAAAGAAACAAACAAAAAAAAAACCCATTCAAAATGTTGTGTTTAGCATGCTTGTATTGAGGGGAGACCACTCTTGCTATACTTTCAGTGTGACGATTCCAAGTTCTGGTTCTTTGGCCCAAACTGATGAGCAAAATCATCTCCTTGTTGTCAACATTCAGCTCCCGAATCAAAATACCCAGACCGATGATTCCCATTATGATGGTGAAAAAGGAGGTACTAGCTTGTAGTTGTTATCTATATCTATACATATTGTGTGTTTGTATTTGATTTATGTTAACCTAGGTAGTGGTGAATAGTAAACTAACACTCTAGGTGGCAGAAAGTAATGGTGGTTTTGTTTTGTATTTTCGTTTTATATTTTCCAAATGAACTTATATGCATGCGTAATGGTCTTGGACAAGGTTTCAAAGTTAGTTATTGTTCAAACAAAATGTAAAAATAGCATGTTTTGTTTTTGTTTTTTTATATTATAACATACTTTTGGTAGGGGAAGGATGGGGGGGGTGGGGGCTTTAAGTTGTCTCTTTTTGGGGTAAAATTTGTTCACACTGTATTTTCTGCCACTTAACTGCATGCTTGCATCGGTGTTAATTTTCTTACGAATGCCCTGTAGCATTTTAACAATGTCAAAACATTGTTATCTGTGTACACTATGCAGGTCGGAGGAGCAGAACCATTTATTGATTGCCAGTGTACAACTACCAAATGATTACACCCAGTTTGACGCCTCTCATTATGATGGGGAAAAGGGAGGTAAGTGTGTAAATTTTAAAGGTAACTGCACGTAGTCTGGCAACCTTCTGGTTCAGGTAAGGGAAGTGAAGGAGTAGATACCTAGCTAACACACTGCATTAAATATTGCAAAAGGACAAGCTTTTTATACATTCAGTAGTAATAACTTATTTACATTTTTTCCTTGAAAGGAAACTTTTTTTACTTACCTTAAGCATCACTATGATTTTCAAAGAAGTACCTATATTTTTCCAAGAAGTAACAATCTTATCAGTATAAAACTTTTTGGGATTGATGCTTGATTCTAATTTTGGTAAATTAATGTGAAAATAAGTTATGGAAACAGAAGTTGTGATTAGACCAGAATAGTTGGAGGATGTAATAATTTTGCTGTAGTGTATTTCAAAGGTAAGTACGTCAGTGTTTTTTTTTAGGATAACAGGATGGTTAAATACAGCTCACTCTAGGATAGGTTTGCCTCTGCAACCATTCATGGAAGTCAGTAAAATTTGAACATATCTTTATCATATTCTGATTAATGATAATAATTTCTCACTTCAAAAAAATAAACAAGATAGTTACATTTCATGATATATCAAGCAAGCAAATTGGCAAGTAATCAAACCAGATGACAAAATAAAATTGGCTGGTAGCCAGGGTCCATTTAACCCTCTACCAGAACATTAAGCATTTGTCACCAATATAGAGCCAGGCCAGCATGTCAATTTTTCATCTAGATTTTTCTAAAACTAGCAATGGACAAGTCAATTGAAGAACTAAGCAAGTTTAGTGGTAAAGAGTATTACCTTATTTAATAGATTCCTGATGTTGAATCATATTTCCATATCAAAAGGCAAAGAGCAACAAATTTAAGTAAATATATCTTTTAGTAGACCTACAAATGAAAGCAAGTGCATCTTTTACCTTTGTGAGTTTTAGGATTGGAAATGATTACCAATTTAGATATCTTTTTTATGACCTATTCTCTGTTGGTGCGACGTAACCCCCCCCCCCCCCCCCCCCAAGAAAAGAAAGAAAAGATAATGATTGCCAATTTAAATCATTTAAAAAAGAAAATGATTACCAATTCAAATCATTCAGTACCCCCAATGGCAGTGCACTGTGTCTGGAAGCATTCATAACTAGATTTATAAAAATCTGGAAACGGTGATTCCTCCGAAGCATTAATCACCCTCTGAAACATGAATCACAACAAAATTACAGGAAAATAGCAGGTCTACTCTGTTTGATTAAGTCTGTTCATGTGGGATAATGTATAAATGCAACATTCCTCACGTCCCCTAGCACTGGCTTGAGTGGTACTCAAAATCTCAACACTTAATAGTGCTGGCATCCGTGATATTTCTATGCTAAATAATTATAGTTATGATGAAAAACGATAATGACTAAACTACTGTGCTATATTTGCAAACTTAAATTGTTTTGTTGAACAAACAATCAGTATCCTGTCAATCTATTTTGATTGCCTTAATCATTTACGCTCATCAGTTGTTTAGAATTTCTTCATCCTAAAAATAAAAGAAAGATAGTTAAAAACAAACTATTCTGACCATTGGAATGTGTTTGATGAGTCTACAAGTGTTCCTCATTATGTATGAAGTAACACATTAATTCTGCTGGACCTAAAAGCTGTTAGCTTTGGCGTCATTATATTGCCAGGCCTGTCTGCACATTTTGTGCAGTTTGACCAGAGTTTATTAAGTTGGCTTTTGATTTTCATCTTCATAATCACAAAATTGATTTGGCTAGAATAGTAAAACTGTTACTCTCATTGTGAAAAATGAAGTAAAATTGAAAAGTGTTGCACAAATCTGGCGAAGAAGAACACAAAATTAGGATTTTCAATCAATTTCCGAGTATATTTCTTAATTATCTTTGCCCCAGCTGATGTATGTTAGAAATTCAAATTTTATGTTTTTAGGCGTCAGTTGAGTTTATTCAAGTATGATGAAGTACCAGTTTTATATTTCAGAGTTTGGAGGGTTTGGTTCCGTCAGTGGTAAGATAGAGATCGAGATAAAGATCAATCATGAAGGTGAAGTTAACCGAGCCCGATACATGCCACAGAATCCTTGTATCATAGCAACTAAAACACCATCCAGTGACGTACTGGTGTTTGATTACACAAAACATCCTTCTAAACCAGGTAATCTATAAAATAAATTGAATAATACATAAATATTATGATTGGGTTTGGGTAAGGGGTTCTAGCTTGATATTTCAAAGAATATTGGGAGCTATTGTACTCAGCCAGTTGGCGTCATACTTTTGATAACTGCAAGTTGGTATCTTTTAAGAAATATTATGAATTTATTGACAGAATGGCAGTATAAATATATATCTATATTTTATTTTAACAGATCCAAATGGGGAGTGTACACCAGAGCTGCGTTTAAAGGGTCATCAGAAGGAAGGCTATGGTTTGTCATGGAACCCTAATATGAATGGTCACTTATTGAGTGCATCCGATGATCATGTATGTTGTTGAATTATAAATTTTTCTTTCCATATGTAAATTGGTATCGCTATTATAGAAAGCTTACAAGCTTTATTCAAGATAACCTACAGATGACAGATAAATATAATGTGATTGAAAGAAAAAAAACCTGTGGCTTTCTGAAGAGGAAAATATAGCGTGATAAATCAGAAAAGGGCAACAAATGAGAATGGAATTTAACCACACATTTTATAAAATTTTCGATTTCAATTAAATTAAACATGCATTGCATGGTACATAGCAGAGGCTGTAGGGAAAGTTTTCTGTCTTCTAGCTGATACATAAGTCAGATGATATGAAGTCATGGTTCTGGAGGGCATTTCAGGGGAAAATATTAGCTTTTTAAGGGGAAAATATACCTATTTTGAGCTAGGGGAAACAGCCTTTATTCCACTGTAAAATGCAGGCAACAAAATCACTGCTAAGTCACAGCAAACATTAACTTTTATGCAGTTTGTTCAAATGATTCCTACACTGTTGGCAGAAAGAATTTCTAGTGGCATTTCCGCTGAACATTATTAGATACGATTTTGAAATAAATTTGCATAGAGCTTGCTGGAATGTAATTAATATTCCATGTAGATAAGGACCAACTTTAGCAGACCATGAATGGTATTTACTAATTAATATTTTATGATTGTCTAATATATCATTGTTTAAAATAGAAGTATTTAAAGGCATAAAGCAATGGTTTTGTAAGGAAAAAAGACGATAATTGTTTGTTTTAATTATTATATAATTCTATTTTAGACAATATGTTTATGGGATATAAATACCAACCCAAAAGAAGGACGAGTCATTGATGCATTCACCATCTTTACAGGGCACACATCTGTTGTAGAGGTAATAATAGTGCAGAAGTGCTGAATTATGTGCTTTGAATAAGTTTATACAGTATTTTAGTAATTTGATAGAGTAGAAAGCTATAAGCTTACAGACATGCTCCTAAATCCTTTACTGGACTCAGCCAGTTCTTGGGATATGATAGACAGCCTCTAAGAATGTTTTAGCAGCTAGTTAAAAGTTTCTTGCTCAAGGAAATAATAGCCTCTTCCTAAGGGGTTTCAATTTAGAATTGAACACTGATGGTTTCAGTTAATGCTTTATATTAATGGGATAAATGCAAGTAAATGACACCATCAGTAAATATAGATTTGTGTATCAAGGCCAATCAGTGTGTTTATTTGTGGAGACATGACTATTCAAAGGATAGCTATTGTATGCATGTCCCTGTCACACTGGTTACGTTTTTAATGTGCAAGTTGGTATCTCCAAAACTACTGAAATGAATGAGTTGTAACTTCATAGACTTACTTTAACTAAAGAATTAAGGAGGAAACAGTCAATAGCCTGTATCTCTGGATTTTGACAGAATTATGTCCCTTTTTTACCGTCTACTACAGAAAGTTACCCGAGCTTTTGTTTAAGCACAGTGATTAGTTTATTACTGTCCTACTGACAGCTCTTGTTCCTATGATTTCAGGATGTGGCCTGGCACTTGTTACACGAGAGTTTATTTGGATCTGTTGCTGATGACCAGAAACTTATGATGTAGGTTCTTTGATATTTTAGTGTATATGTTTTGTTAATACATGTATTTTAATTATGAAAAACAACAAGAAATTCAAAAAAAAAACATTGCAATGCTTTTCACTCAAATCAGTTAGGAGTAACAAAAATATGATTTTCCAATTATTTCTGAATATATGTCTTTAATATCTTTTTTAAATCTATCTATTTTAAGTGACTGAACTGATGTATGTAAGAAATTCAAATTTTATGTGTTTTACTCCTTTGGACCTTAGTGGAGTCCCTTGCAATATTGAGTTATACAGTATTGGAATATATGTGGAACAGTACACATGTCCGGGGAAAAACATTTGTTTACATGCTGCCAGAAAATATATATTAACCTTTAATGAGGATTTTGTACCTTGGGTCATAAACCTGTGAATTAAAGATGAATATTTAATGTAGAACCAAATAAAAAAATTGGTAATGCTCTCCTGGAAAGAAAATCTTGAACTTGTTTTCAGTTTTCAAGTAAGTACTGTGGTACTGTGTACTGTACTAGAAGTGATTAATTAAAAGTGCTCATGGAGAGCTTTTGTTTGTTCCAGTCTTATGTTTCTTACTGCTTGAATAGTTAACAGAATTACTCGGCCATTTTGAAGAGGTAATAGTAAGGGATGACTGTGGTACTACTTGGGTGTAAAGGCTGGTGATAAATAGATGTATAACTGTATATTTTCTGATGGGATACACAATCAAATAACACCAGTAGTATAAATAGATGTATAACTGTATATTTTCAGATGGGATACACGATCAAATAACACCAGTAAACCCAGTCACACAGTAGATGCACATACTGCAGAAGTAAACTGCCTCTCTTTCAACCCATACAGTGAATATATCTTGGCAACAGGATCAGCAGACAAAGTATAAAATTTGTATTTTTTTATTTTTGCATAAAATTGAGGCTAAATTACAGGGCTTTTCCCAACTCGTGAAACTTGAAAATTCCCAATTTTGTCTTAAAAATGTCCCAAAATGCCTGTTTTCTATATTTATTCTCAAAAAAAATTTATAGTTACCTTGCTAACATTTTCAAATTAAAATTGTTTTGGTTGTTGCCTTTTATCTCATTTTTTCTCTTTCAATACATGTACTATATCGATATGGGGGGGGGATTTATTTTAAGACAGTACTCCTGTAAATATGGAACGAAACCTGTCTCGGTATAATTACAAAATGAGTTGTGCAAGGTAGAAATTCTGAGTTTTAACCATTTGTATTGTTGATTTAATCTTGAGCCTGATCAAAGTCTGCACTGTTTGCTATACAGTCAGTATATATTTTGAATTATTTTTTGAAAATGAAGAGTAGTCTTTTCCAGATTAAAAAGACGGACAAGTCTATTTAAAATACTTCAGGGGGTAATGAAGGAGATTAGATACTGTAGAAGAAATGGTAGCTGTATTTAATTTTAATTTTTTATAAAATCTGTTCCTATTTTCAGACAGTTGCATTGTGGGACTTGAGGAATTTAAAACTCAAACTTCACTCATTCGAATCTCACAAGGATGAAATTTTCCAGGTTAGCAACTTGTTTACTTGAAATATGCGAATATTTGATGACATTATTTAGAAATTTCTTTCTAAACGCTCAATTTTTCTTCTATTTGAATGCTGTGTAGAACATCTGCAAATTAATTTTCATTAGTCGATTGTTTAACATGAACGTTTTTACCTCTAAAAACAAGTTTTTTGCCAGTATAAATTTTGCATATCTCTAAAATCTATTCTTTTTGACCAGAATAAATTTTACATAATGTAGAGAAAATGAACTTTCAGTACTGACATATGTTAAAGTACAATGATCGATCAGTTGTTGTTCTAGAAATTGTACAATGTAGATTGATGTAGCAGCAAAACAATTCTTTCTTTATTGACTTTTTCTCTTCCTGTGAATATTTTTCCACACTTTGAATATTTGTCCAGAAATGGTAATAAACAACAGGATATTTAACTTTTCAATTCAATAACATTTGAAGTTACTTTGAATGTAAGCATATGAGTTACTTTTATGAAGATATTCTGGCTAATAAAGTCCCAAATGATCCATTTTAAATGAAATATAAAGAAAGAGCCAGAGTTTTTTTTTCTGGATTTTTGTTTATGTCCAGTAGAGTGTTTTCTTCTCAGAACTTGCCATGTATTTCTTATCATACAAATCAAAGGTAATATTTTATGTAATTTGCATTGGCTTGCTATGTGGTGTTTTATTTTAGAAGTGACACTTTCTTCCTAATTAATATTCTACAGCACCCATTAAACAAATAATTGTTTTAAAATAGGATCAGTGGTCGCCCAATAACAAAACTATTTTTATTTCTAAACAGGTTCATTGGTCACCCCATAATGAGACTTTAGGCTATTGTTTTAAAACAGGTCCATTTGTCACCCCATAATGAGACTATATTGTTTTTTAAATCAGGTTCAGTGGTCGCCCCATAATGAGACTATATTGTTTTAAAACAGGTCCATTTGTCACCCCATAATGAGACTATATTGTTTTTTAAATCAGGTTCAGTGGTCACCCCATAATGAGACTATATTGTTTTTTAAATCAGGTCCAGTGGTCACCCCATAATGAGACTATATTGTTTTTTAACACAGGTTCAGTGGTCACCCCATAATGAGACTATATTGTTTTTAACACAGGTTCAGTGGTCACCCCATAATGAGACTATATTGGCATCTAGTGGTACAGACAGACGGCTTCATGTTTGGGATTTGAGTAAGATTGGCGAGGAACAGTCAGCTGAGGATGCTGAAGATGGACCACCAGAGTTACTGGTATGATAACACTTGTTGTTGGTTTTGGGGTGGGGTGGGGTAATGGACATGCCTAAAATAGGGGCAGAATATAGACATTTTAACTTCCGAATTTTATCTTAATAATAAAAATCTTAAACTATTCTCAGAAAACCCCTGACCAACTCAGTATGGTTATTTATGAGATATACCATTTACAAGTGTGTATTTACGAAAACCATCAGAAAAAAAGTTTATTAAACTTTAAAAGATTTTAAAAGTTTATAACTTTTAAAAGTTTATAAAACCATTATAAAGTTTTTGTCCCACAATTATTGTTACCTTGTCTACCTAGAAATGCCATCCTCATAATATAAAAAATGTGAAATATTGTTTCTATGAAAGTTACAAGGAATACAGTTTTTTACAGTACTTATATTGATATATATAAGATGATGAGTCAAGATAAGTGATATATAGTGGTAATGTTTAAACTCCTAAAGAAGTACTTTCTGAACTTTGAGTAACTCTTTGTGAAATTCTTGCTCCAAGATCTATATTTTGATACAAGCATGTTTTTTATAAAGTGTAAATTATATATGAGTAATAAATTATGTGATGACGTCAAAAACAACTTTTTTAAGTGATGACAACATAAAGAACCTTTAAGGGAAGTGATGAATCACATACTAAAGTTGACCTTTCTTAAATTCAATCAAAGTACATTCAGGATCTGAAGTTCATCTTGGTATTTCATGCTTTTATCTATAGAATTAATATTTTGAAATATCAAATGCTGGCACAAGTTTGAGACGTTAATTTGAAATTTTATTTTGGGGTTTTCTTTTATATCACAGAAAAAAATCTGTCATTTCATAAAAGTTCACCTTTGTATTTTAAAACTATGTACTTCAAGAGACATAGGGGATATTGATTGAGTGTAAGTTTTATACTCGAAATAGTGAACATTTTTATTCAACAAGTTCAATAAGTTCAGTATAAGACTTGTATAAGATTTATATTCTATTTATCACCAAAAAATAAAGACTGTTTATTGTGAAAAAGAACCCGTTGTTATTGATGTGCCTATAGTATAACATTTACATTTAGTGAGTCTTAAGCTATGTTTATATGTATCACAAATGATGTCACATCAAAATATATGCACGGCCATGCAATAAATACCGTTTTAACAGGGTGGCAAAAGCAGCATGGGTGTGTGATGAATTATCTTAAAACCTTGTACTGTTAGGAACATAAATGAATTTTAAACCTGGTACCCCTTGAAATATAAAGGAATTTCAAAACTGGTTCCCCAAGAAACAAATGCTTTGTAAATACTGGTACTCCTAGAAACATGAAATGATCTTAAAAGACTGGTACCTGGACGAATATAAAGTGATATTGAAACCTGATCTCTTGAATTCCTCAAGAAACAAAAATGATTTTAAACCCTGAAACCTGGGGAAACATAAATGATTTTAAACCTTGAAACCTGAGGAAACATAAATGATTTTAAACCCTGAAACCTGAGGAAATATAAATGATTTTAAACCCTGAAACTTCAAGAAACATAAACGATTTTAAACCCTGAAACCTCAAGAAACATAAAAGATTTTAAACCCTGAAACTTCAAGAAACATAAATGATTTTAAACCCTGAAGCCTCAAGAAACATAAACGATTTTAAACCCTGAAACCTCAAGAAACATAAATGATTTCAAACCTCAAGAAACATAAATGATTTTAAACACAGGAACCTAAAGAAACATAAATGATCCTAAATACTGGTACCTCAAGAAATGTAAAATGATTTCAAAATCTGGTACCTCAAGAAACATAAATGATCTTAAAACCTGGTACCTCAAGTTTGAACAAACAAACAAAATATCATGTTATATTATGTCTTCTTTTCAGTTTATTCATGGAGGGCACACTGCAAAGATATCAGATTTCTCTTGGAATCCTAATGAGCCGTGGGTGATCTGTTCTGTATCCGAGGACAACATCATGCAAGTCTGGCAGATGGTATGTAATCAAAATAATAACCATATGAGCCACGCCATAGAGCGTTTGGGGCCAGCATGAATCCAGACCATCTGCACAGTCTGATCAGGATCCGTGCTGTTCCCTCTCATTTTGTCTACTTGTAATAGGGTTTGTAAGCGAACAGAATGGATCCAGATCAGACTGCGGATGTGCAGGCTGGTCTTGATCCATGCTGGTCGCAAACGCGGCTCATATCATGTCTTAATGATAAAGATTTATGTCACATACACCATTCAGTGTAGTGAATGTTAAAAAAAGTATAATCTGCTTTCAACTTAACATGCCCATTATTAAAATGGTTCTTCATTTATACATTTGATGGAATCAAGGTTTAACAGAATTTGGATAGATCTCTAAGAATTATATTGAGTTTGATAAAAGTTGCATTTTGTTTATCAATCCTGTTATATGGTCTCAAAAGAAATGAGTAACAATGGTATTTTTAAGGGGGGAAATTCACAAAACTCGCTAATAAATGACTCAAAGGACGATTTAATATTGCTTGTCATTGCGTACGTGAGTGCAGAAAGTGTGGGTATTGTTATTCAGAATAATTGTTCGACAGTTTGTATTTTCTTATTAGTAATATTAGTACATGGTGAAATTAATTATAAAAATGTTAAAATGAAGGACATACGATGAAGAGTAAAATTGCCTCTATGGTTAAGTTTCTTTTACAACAAATTATTTTTATAGTTATGATATAGAGACACTTGCAGCAATGTAATCTTCGTCCTTTTAAATACTTTAATTAATGAATTAAGGTGGACATGGTTTGATTAAATATCTTAACTTATTAAATATTATTTTAAAGTTAAGTTATAAACAAAAAGTACGCCCCTCCCCTACCTTTCAACGCTGTTGGCTTGAATCTCAGTAGGAAACTTGGATCATTTCATGAGAGGAAACCATCAAGTTAGCTAACAAAAGGTTGATGATTCTCCTCCAATACCTGAATTTTAAGATATTGCCAACAATGCATAATTAAACACTTTAAAACCATGTTAAATTAACAGTGTGACTCTTTCATTAGATTTTATGATTAAAGTACAAAATGAATGTTTTTGAGAGGAACTGAAGTTGGTATAAAAATATCACTGATATGTAGTTGTTAATGGTTTTTATGGCCTTTTAAAATTATCCATTATGGAAGTATTCAACTTTTAAAAAAAAAAATTCTGAAGTTCCCTAAAAATGCCACAATGTTCCCAATGCAAGCCTAAAATGCTAATAAAGGTCCTGCTAGAAATTCCTAAAACTAGGCAATTGACAGTTGTAGAAATGAAAGCTTTACAAACCATATAATTAAAACAAAATTAGTCATTTCAAGAGTTTCAACATACATGTACAGTAAACTTCACTTATAGCGAATTTCCGGTTATAAGGAACAATTTATTTTGGCCCGAATTTTGCCCTTCTTTATTCAATATAGAAATAAACTGTTATAGCGAACACGGTTATAAGGAATTATCGCTTATAAGGAACTCATTTCTTAGTCCCAATTTAGTTAAAAGTACAGAAAATTACACTTTTATAACGAACTCCAAAATATCGGCTATCAGTAAATAGATCAAGCTTTTTCAACTTTCATTTTCATTGGCACAGATTAAAACTCAGCCGAATGTACCGTTTATTGTTGTATGTACTTCAAGATATCTTGTATAGCAATACATAATAGTTTTCTATTTAGTATATTTTTAGCATGATTTTTTTTCATCAAGATAAAACGTTTATTCCTTTTATTTTTATATTTCTTTTCTTTAAAAGTTTCGACCGACTAAAATAATTATGATCATTTATAATCGGTTTTCAACATAATCACGCATGCTTGCAAGCATAATCCATTAAAGACTACAAAGTACGCTTGATTGAAATGAAAAGAAATGTATATCTTTTATTAGTAAAGGTCACCCTTAAAATATAATAGAAGATATTCAGTATAAATAAAAATCGAAAATCTTGTTTATCTTTAATCATGGAAAAAATCGAAAAGCACTGAGTTTAGAAACAAAATAATTATATTTTATGAGTAATTGAGAAAGGGAGTAAAACTAAAACTGAAATAGCAAAGAATTTTCAAATTCCAAAAAGTATGCTCTCGGATATTGTGTCTAAAATAGAAATAAATTACTAATTTTTCTTAATCAAATGCTCTTCAAAATGTCGGACGACGATGGTAAACAATCAGTTCGTTATATGTAAATCTGTTCGCTATAAAATCTCCTGATACAAGGAACTAATTCGCTATATGCTTACAAGGAACTCCGGATATAAGGAACAGATTTTGAATGTCCCAATGAGTTCGTTATAAGCGGAGTTTACTGTATATTGTTTGAAATAGTATATATACCCGAGTATTGGTATGTAAATCTAGTCTTTAATATTCTAAGTCTGCAAGCTTTTTCAATTGACTTAATTTGTTTTATTGTGGCTTTCTTTTACATGTTACTGCATTGTGTAGATTTTTACATAGTTTTATCACAATATTGTAGCATACTTCAACATGAATTGTCGGAAAATTTAAAGAGTTTTTAGCATGAAGCAAAATAAAAAGATAATTAAGCTATATAAGTTTAGGTATTTTATTATTGTTTATGATTTATTTTGTTTCAGGCTGAGAATATTTACAATGACGAGGAACCTGATGCACCGGCCGGTGATCTGGAACAATCTGCGTCTTAATAATTATGACATTATTGAGGCAGTAGTATTTATCATCTTTACAGCGAAGTATGGTGTGACAGTTATAAATCTCACCTTGTTTCATAACAACTTCAAAAAAAAAACTTGTTAGGTTTTGTTATCGCTTGAAGAATTTATGTCAAGCAACTTTTATGCAACTTTTATATAAGACAAATATTGGGACATTTCTATTGGTATATTGGAATATGAAATTTTCAAATCATTGTTTGCCTATTCATGGAAAGCACTATAATATTATTTAATAATTATGTATCAGTTAAATAGAATTCCTTCAGAAAAGATATAATGATCTGGTGGATAATATTTGTTCTGTTAATATTTGTCTTTAATAAAATGAGCCGCTTCACGACAAAACCAACCAGCATGGATCCAGACCAGCCTGCGCAGTCTGATCAGGATCCATGCTGTTCGTTGTTCCCTTATGAACCCTATTACAAGTAGAGAAACTGATAGCGAACAGCATGGATCCTAATCAGACTGCGCAGGCTGGTCTGGATCCATGCTGGTCGCAAACGCACTATGTTGGTTTTGTTGTGACGCTGCTCAAATGTCTTGTAATGGAGGAGAAAGCTGAAACAATGAAAATACACACTCTGCATATTTACTGAGATATTTTGTGTTATCATAGAATACATGTATATATGGACCTTTTAATGAATTCTTCATGTAATAAAGTTCATCATGGGACAAAAATGGACTTAGTGAATTTATGTTGTGTTGTTAATTGCATTATCATGTCTTCAGCAAATTGTGAATAAATGTATAGACCTTAATGATTGTTTTCTTTTTGTTTGCCTCTGCAACATGCTTACTATCTTTAATTAGAAAATGGTTGTCTGAAAAGACAATATACAAAGAAATGGCTCTATCTTGAAAACCACAATTATGAAACACTTTTTTTTCTCGCATGAAACAGCACATCCATTATGTTCACACAGTACATGGGGCGTCCGTGACCGAGTGGTTAAGGTCGTTGACTTCAAATCACTTGCCCCTCACCGCTGTGGGTTCAAATCCCTTTGGATTAAGCTATCCAGCAAGCTTAAGGAACGTCGTTGGTTCTACTCAGGTGCCCGTTCGTGCCTGAAATACGCACGGAAGGGCACCAGAGGTCTTCCTCCACCAGTAAAGCTCGAACGTCACGATATGACCTATACTGTGTCAATGTGACGTAAAACCCAAAAACAAACACAGTACATCATCTGCAGAACATTTTGTAGAGCAAAAACTATAACTTTAAAAATTTTCCTTCTGTTGACTCTGTACTGGTTTGGGACCATCAACTGGACACTGAACTTTTTTCCATATAGTACATTTGTATATTGCACAGTACAGCTAGGTTCCAGTTCATAAGTCTCTGACCTGTTAAAAATGTAATTTTCATATACATGTATGTGGATACAAAAAGAATTTCACCACAACATATTTTGTGAACAAAAGTGCACAAGTCATGTTTGTGGTTAAATCTATTGTTATTCAAAGAAAAGGTCAGTTTACTCCCCATTATGTTTACACTTTTATTTTAGGCCCTTCCAGAGTTCCATGTGTTCGGACAGCTTTGTATGACTGGGTATGCTATTGTTAACTCTGCATGATTATGGCTAGTGTAAAAAGTCCAGTATTGCACTGACATCAGATTTTTTAACATCGACATTCTTGTTAGAAACGATTAAAATCAATTTACTTCAGTATAGGAGAAACATGCTTTATTAACTATTGTATAGACGACCTCTGAATGAAGGAAACATCTAAATAAGGCATTTTCAAGCCTGTCCATGTTAAATGGTCTGGTTTTGGTGATCTCTAACCAGTAGAACTATATAACTGTAGAAGTTCTTCCCTCTATAGAGAAATACCTATAAGAACGGTAAAAATGCTTCATGTAGCAGGGTTTCACAAAATGACCTCTACAGTAATGCTTGGCAACAACAAAAATTTGTCTTGCAAAAGTTGTTGCTCTACACCATGTACACAGAGTGTACTGTGTACATGATGATTTTAAAGTCCACAATACAGATTTGGTTGTTTTTGTCATTTTTTTCACCTTTGAAAAATTTACATTCAACAAAGTTTTTTTAAGTCTTGACTATTTAAAGTTATAACAAGTGCATAAATATATTCAAAGCGAGGATTTATTTTCGGTACTTAGTCAAAAGAAAAAGTAAAGTTAATAGTTGTGAATAAATAGTAATAACAAGTGCATAAAAATATTCAGTGAGGCTTTATTTATGGTACTTAGCCAAAAAAAACGTAAAGTTAGTGATTGTGAATTTATTAAACTTGCCATTGTTGTCAGCATTTAATAATTATGAAAAATACAAATTTCATCATTTTGGTTGTACTGGGGGCCTGGGGATATTGTTTGATAGATGATATTGAGAGATCTCTACTCTCTGACCTTTCACTTGAATAACACAAACATCAACATGTTGTTGTGAAACTTTCATTATAATAACAAATCTGATAATAAGAATTAGACAGGTCAGGGAAAGCTAAATGGCCCAACTGATATTTTGCTATCGGACAATTAAATATTCACCAAGGAGGTCTTGCACATAGGATTGTACTGTCACATCAAGGTAATAAGGTGAATAAATAATTATTCCTATTCTGTTAATTGATCAACTGAAAAACATTTTACATGATCACATTGCATGAACATATGTCCAGAATACTGTTTAACATACAGAATAAACCTGTGATATGGAGAACAACCTTTTCTTCAGAGGAAACTATGCTAGCATACTAAAAGTATGAGAGTGCGCCAATATCGTTAGTAATACAATACATGTGTATGTTATATAATGCAATATGTAGTTTATTTTCCAATATGCATGCAGCTTGTGATTCTTGTGTATTTGAAAGTGATGCTATTGTTTAAATGAATCTGCTTTCTGATGAGACCAAATTGTGTGTAGTCAACCCATTAAGAACTTTATTCACATTTAGAAATACCTTACACCAGTAACTTCTTGCTAAATATGTCTGGTTAACACTCAGTTAAAAGTGGCAAAACTGATGTTTCAAGGTGGATGCATAAATTTAAAAATGGGCACAAGTCAAAGATGTTTAAGTCCAGTTGTAAGAGCTTCATATCTATTGACAAAAGCATTCATAAATCAAGCTTATTGACAAAGATGCCAGAATTTCACTTCCTCAAATACAGTGTAGCCCATTTTGAAGAAATAGCAAAATTGTCAACCCATAGGTTTCTGAAGAATCACATGAAAGTTGGGCAAATAATTGCCAGATGGATACCTACGCTTTGCTTACATCTGACTACAAGAAGGAGCAGGTAAAATGTGCTTGAAAATGTTTCCTAAATACGACGGTCATAGTTTTTCTAATATTATGACTGATGATGAAAGTGGGTTCACTATTTTATGCCAGTTCGCAAGTTGGACCTCCAAAAAATGTTTGTCAACCAGACATTGACAAGTGTCAAGAAAGTTACATATGTTACTTTTCTCAATACCTGTGGAACTGACAATTACCCGTGGAACTGTTGTCCAAATTCCTGTGTCTAGAGGCCATTCTGTCACATCAAAGTATTATAAAAGAGATGTTGTGTTTAGAAAAATTGAAAAACATTTCAATAAGCTTTGTCCTTTAACTGGCACAAAAGGGCCTTTTATTTTTTGCATGACAACCCTCCCCTGCACACAAAGGAGCTACTCTATTTTTTCTATTTTTTTCCTTTTGAAAAAAAAAGAGATAAAGAGTGACTGTCCATAACATCCAGACCATAACATCCAGACTTGTCACCCTGTGATTTTTTCCTTTCCTAGACTGAAAAACATTTTGCAGGTCATTGCTACAAGAGCAGAAATAGACTTGGGTCAATCCTATTTTAGTAATTGAAAGGTATCCCTAAGGGGGACTATGTTTTAGCATTTAAAAATTGGATTAAATGTCTGAAACTTGTATTCCTGTAGATTATTTCGAATGTGTAAAATACTTGCTGTTTTGTTAAAATTTATTGACCATATTACATTACATATTGACCCACCCTTGTATTATCCCAGGATGATAACTTGAGCCTTCCTTTACATAACAGATTAATAAAACCCAAAAAAAATTTAAAGGCAGATGATGCCTTTAAAATAAAAACAACATAAAATTAAGTCTTGTTACATGCGGGCATAATTAAGGCCTGTTTAACTTTAATTGTATTTTTGTGTTTTATAATGCATTTAAAAAGATGGGTTTTTAAAACCCTTTAAATTAAGTAAAATTTAACATTTTGAATGTTTTAAAAAATGCCAGAAAAAAGGAACCAAGATATACAAAGGGTTTAATTAGCTAATGAAGATGGGTTTTTTTTAAGTAAAAAAAAAACAGTGACCAGGGGAGATAATACATGTTAGGAGTAAAGCACCTCTAATATACTTATAAGTTTATTGAGCATTCAACTTACAATAATAAATTATACAATATAAAATACATAAAATAAATAACCATAGATGAAATGTACACACTGCAACAATACTTTCATTAATTATTTTACCCCTGAACACTCTGCAGTACGAGAAAAGTTACAAACAATGTTGCTTTTAAGAATATTGGTCCGAAACCTGTGTTATACTCTCTTGGTTTCACCTTGGTCGGAAAGCACTTAGCACTTCTGCTTCTTGGGTGATCACCCCCTAGCAAGATCCCTAGCAAGATGCAACAATACATTAGCAAAATTTAATTGCCAGCTCAAAATATTCTCCAGGGCAACCCATGTTCAGTTATACTTAATGTACATGTAACAATATGCTTGGTTGGTTCTTCTTCAAAAATAAGGAAAAAAACACACAGTAAATTATAAAATCTACAGAGAGAAGATAAGTACCACTAAAATAATAGATATTAGTTTATATCTTCCCTAATCAAACCACTTGCCCCTCACTGCTGTGGGTCCAAATCATGATATGGACTTAGGATTTTTTAATGTGATGAAGCTATCCAGCTAGCTTACGAAAAGTCTGTGGTTATATGTCCATTTATGCCTGAAATAACACATGGAAGGCACCCAGTAAAGCTGGAAAGTCGCTATATGACATAAACTGTGTTGGTGCAACGTAAAATCCAACCAAAACAAAAAAAAAATTCCTAATAACTGAAGGAGAATGCACAAACTCTTGTTATTGTGAGTTCGTTTTTGATCCCTCTTTCCAGACTCTTCAACAAGGCTTTACTAAATTAAGTACAGTAGATGAAACTTACGCTAAGTAAATAAATAAGATGATTATTTATAACTAAGAATAGGTAACTGATAACTTAGAATATTACCTTAAATAATCTGATATTTTTGTCCATTTCTGTTTCTATACTGTACATATTAAAATGAATTTGCATACACATGATTTCTAATACTATACTATCATAAAAAGTTTTAAATTTCATTTCTTTTAACTTTTGACAGCTTCACTGGCTTCATTTTTGTTCTCTGTTGTTGTTTTTTCTTCTTTGTTTTCTGCTGCACCTTTATCAGAAGGTTCCACATCAGCATTCTTCTGATCTGCTTTCGTCTTTTCTAGGACTTTGGTAGTCTTGTTTGATGTTTTTATAACAACTTTGTCTTTTGGTGGCCCCTTTTTAACATCATGTCCACCAAACTGTAAAACATTGTATAAAGAAAATCAAAGTTTATTATACCGTATATTGGGTTATTTTTGGGAGTATCTAATTTTTGCTCTATTCGCATGCAATAAATATTGTGAAAAATAGATTTGCTAGATTTTCCTTCAAATTAATACTAGTATTTCGTGAGTTGTTGGAACTTGATTTTTACTTTAGATTTGCTACCCAGTTTAGTCATATATATTATATATATATATCATATATATTATACAAACTGTATATCATATTGTGATATCAATGTATCATTAATATCAATTTCCGATGTTCATGGTTATTTAGCATTAAGTGGGGTTTTTTTCCCCCAAGTACATGAAAAAACTGCGACACAGTGAGCAAACAGGTATTTCTTGTTTATCTATATTTTCTGATATAATAATCACACCTTGCAAGTATGTATACAAACACAGGCAGCTTTACAATAACATGTCCACAAGAAGATGAAACAAGAGCTGTCCGTAAGACAGCGCGCTCGACTTTTTTATTGCTTGCCAATAAAAAAAGTTTTTGCAGTAAAAGGCAATACAAGAATCTCTGTATTTTTAAAGTGAACAATGGCCATGAGCATTAAGATATTTAGTGAAGAATTATTTTACTGAATTGTGTGATACCCTTGAACACTGCTTGCCTATAATACAAAACATTGACAGTTAAGGGCCATAATTCAAATAAAATCTTTGACAGAATTACCTTCTCCTGGACATGTTTGGGAATCATGATTGTAAACAAGTATTCCAACTTTCAAATTAATATCTCAAACAGTTCAGTCAAAAAGTGGACTGGTACTAAAAACTTAACCAAGATTCTAAGTCGATAAAAGGCCTTAATTTTTAAAACAAATCCTTGACAGAGTTACCTTCTCTTGCGTACAGATGGGGGTAATGATGTGAAATAGCATTAAAAGTTTCAAAGCAATATCTCAAAGGGTTAAGGCAATAAGTGGATTTTACCCATATTCAATGTATTTTCTAAGTCAAAAAGGGGCATAATTCTGTCAAAAACCTTGACAGAGTTATGTCCTCTTGTCTGTTGATGAAGGTCGTGATGGTAAACAAGTATGGTCAGTTTCAAAGCAATACCTCCAATGGTTTTGAAATAAAGTGAGGTGGTACAAAAAACTTAACCAAGCTCAATACACTTTCTAAGTCAAAAAAGGGCCATAATTCTGTCAAAAACCTTGACAGAGTTATGTACTCTTGTCTGTAGATGGAGGTTATGATGGTGAACAAGTATGGTAAGTTTCAAAGCCATACTTGTAATACTTCTGAAATAAAGTGGGGTGGTACGAAAAACTTAACCAAGGTGTGACGCCAACGCCGACGCCAACGCCGACGCCGGGGCGAGTAGGATAGCTCCCCTTTTCATAGAAAAGTCGAGCTAAAAAACAACAAGAAAAGTGAAATACGGAATACGTTTTTGTAAGCAAAACATCAAAACAAAGTTTTACCTGTGAAAAAAAATTAACCTCTGACAAAAAGAGTGGTCTCTCTTTGTCAGCAGAAAAAGGTGAGAGAAAAAGAAACATGTATAACAAAATCACTAAAATCTGATTCGCTGAAATAAGATTTAAATGCCAAAATCATGAAATTTACCGTATGCAAAAATAACCTGATATAAGGTACTTCATAGTCACAAAATTTTAAAATCAGTCATCTGAATTGAAAACTACAGGACTGGTTACAGTATTATTTATTTACTATCTTGAATGACTACATTTGATTTCTAGACTTTGCCATTTAAAAGAATCATCTGGTTTTCATACATAAATCTAGAGTCTGAGTAATTCAGTCTGGTAATGAGTCCAAAATACTTGTATATCTAATGATCTAAACCATAATGAAATGAGCCGCGTCATGACAAAACCAACATAGTGGGTTTGCGACCAGCATGGATCCAGACCAGCCAGTCTGATCAGGATCCATGCTGTTCGCTTACAAACCCTATTACAAGTAGAGAAACTGATAGCGAACAGAATGGATCCTGATCAGACTGCGCGGATGCGCAGGCTGGTCTGGATCCATGCTGGTCGCAAACGTATTATGTTAATTTTGTCGTGACACGGCTCAAATGATAGTGTCACAAGTTAAGTAAATTTGTGTAAACTTAAACCATAGGCCATATTACTGTATAAAATTGGCTGCCTTGGTAGGGTTTTGTGTCGCACATAGCTCAAAAAGTATTTGACCTAGAGTCATGATACCTTACAGGAATGTTGATCAGCATAAGTAGTTGTGCACATGGGTATTTCGTGTGAATATATATAGTATTTTTAGAGTTATTGGGTTTCGAGTGTGAATTGATATGTTTTGTCAGAGTTATTGCCCTTGACTAAGTGAAAATTTGAAATTTTCAATTTGTGTCATGCATACCTCAAAATGTATTTAATCTAGAGTCATGAAACTTAACGGGAATGTTGATCAGCATATGTAGTTAACTAGTTATGCACCTTGGATTTCGCTTGTGGATTTATCCAGTATTTGTAGAGTTATCGCCCTTGACTTATTAAAAAACATTTCATTATGTTCAGTTATTTGTTACTTGAGTGGTTGAGTTAGAATCAATCAACAATGATCAACATCAGTTTGAAGCAATGCACCTGGGGTTTTTGCATGTGGATTTTTTTCAGTTTTGTGAGAGTTATTGCCCTTGACTTAGTGTAAATTTGTTATTTTGAACTTCTTGCTTAGCTCAAATATTATTTGACCTGTAGGCCTGAAAGTTTACAAGAATGTTGGTCAGCACGTGTACTTATGCACCTTTGGGTTTGCTTGTGGATTTATGCAGTATTTGAAGAGCTCTTGCCCTTTACTTTGTAAAAGATTTTTAGTTCAACTTGTGGCACATGTAGCCCAAAAATATTTGACATAGAGTAATAAGATTGACAAAACAGTGGAGTGTGGGGGCGCCCAAGTCCCATTGACACATTTCTAGTTTAATCTATATATCGCAAGCTATCAAAAATTGTAATTTTGTTTTTTTTTAATTCCTGAGAGTAACATGTTATTCACAATCTGCCTGAAACAATGTAGTTATAATCTCTGAGGAGGGTATAGAAACAGACATGTGAGCACACAATAATTTCAACATTTTAACCATTATTTTCTGTGAATAACTGCTATATATTCGTTGCCATGTTGAAGTTGAACTTATTTCAATATTGTTGAACAATGAACAAGTACTTTACATTACAAAATTAATACAGTATAAAAAAGAGCTTGAAAGAAAAAATCTACATTTTTTTTAAAAATTCCAGTAGCAGTGTAGGCGACTTACTTTGGTTAACTCCATATATACAGAAATGAAGGATTAGGTTTGTTTAGTTTTATTTAACTTTTTGTCTCTCTATAACAGTCTTAATTCCTAGTTATTTAAAACACAAAAAGTTAATTCAAAATTGTACAGAAATCCACAATTTGAAAATTCATCACTGCTAAGGCATTTAAATGAATTTTTTCCATCTTTCAACCTGTACAAAACCATTCATTATTTTCAGAGAAATATTCAAAATAAGTATTGACTGAATAGCAAAAAAGTGCAGCCCATGATCAGATGGCATTGATGTGCTGGCTGACCTTGGTCTGCCCTGAGTCTTGGGTAGAATCTCTTGCGACAGCAGGCTAAAGGTTAAACAGATTTGTCTATTTTTCAATCTGGACAAAATCATTCAGCATTTTCAATGAAAGTTTTCAAGATAAGTATTGACTGGACTGCAAAATAAAGCAGATGTCTTGAGTAAATGGCACTGATGCATGGTTGGATTCAACTACCACCTGCCATCTAAGTGTTTAAATGTTTATATGATAATATTACATCAGTTTCGTAATAAATCATTGCACAAGTGCTTGCGACTAGACATTTAGATTTTAAAATATTTGTTTTTGTATCTTTTGTAAAACCGCCAGCCAATTTAACAAGCCAACATGTATCTGAGTTAAAAGCATAACAGAATTTTAAAAGTTACCTCTGCCATATCATAATGATGAACCAATGGAATTGCAAGATTATTAGGATTCAAAATTTCTGTATCGGTTCCAAGCTCAAATGTTTGAAATGCCCTCAACATCTGAAAATATAAGTACACAATTCGTGAATGAATGCATGTATAATGTACTATAATATATTATATGATTGACTGCCTCACAATGCCTATACCATGTGACATTTTGTGATCTGGGTGAGGCGGAAAACCAATAGTGAAGTTGGTCAAGGATTTATATTCTTCAATACAATAACTTTTTCAAAATTTCATAACTTTTTTTTATGGGATGATGTGTAGAGTTTGCTCTTTCAAGCAGGTAGCTACCTGATATGATACATAGAATGTTGTTTTGTTTTGGGGGAAAAATAAATATTTTCATTGAAATATAAAACACGGTAAATTTATGATTGTTCAAACATGTCGTTTCACTTTAAACATTACTGATTTTTGGCTAAAAACAACATTTTAAGTTTAATTTAATTATTTACTATAATGAGCATTAAAAAATAATGAAATATTAAAAAAGTAAAGTATTGATTTTCTGCTCCATGCAGATCACAAAACATTTTTAACTCACATGGTATAGGAACCGTGTCTCAGATCTGCGTATGTTATTAAATGATTAATTTTACAATCTTCATAATAATAAATGTTGATTTCTACAGGGGGTTACGGGCAGTGCCACTTGCATTTACAATTATTGTCCATATAATTACAGATCCCTGCAAATGAACCCAGCGTGCAACAAATTCAAGATGTCATCTTGGCAGTTCTTTAAAATTTCCATTTTATCCACATTAATTTGATTATTTATCCACATTAGATTATTTATCCACATTAGATTTATTCAGAATAGATTGCATCCACATTAGATTATTTATCCACATTAGACTGCAAACAGAAAGTTATGGGGTTAAGTATTGATGTCCCAGTATCATCTACAATTGGCAAGCAGTCTTTTATCAAGGCCTTCCAGTATTTTTACTGGAAAGGTAATTTTTTTACTCTCTAGAAGGCACTGACAGCTGATCTTCTGGCGTGGTGTTTATTAAGAAAAGATCAGGATGATCAAATAATCACACTTCATTTTACATGAGTGATGAACAATCAAAACTTCAAAAACATTTTTTGTTAAAACATGGTCATACCTGATAAGCACATCTGTCACGAGGCATATATCCTACAGCTGTTCCAAGACCTGGACATAAAACACTCCTTATTGGGTCAGCTGGATTAGATTCATTGAATTTCCAAACTGTAGTAAAAAACGTGGGGTGAACAATGGTTGTAATATTTTTTTTTTTTTTAATGAGATTCATATCTTTTAAATGAGACTCATGCATTCAAAGTCATTATAAGTCAAATTTTGAGTTCACACAAGTGTAAAAGTGGTCCAAATTTTCCAAATTTTGAAAATTTAAATAATCTGTATCCGAGTGTATGTTATGCTACATGTAAAAATTAGTAAATATACGTTCACTTAAGATACTGAAAAGTGATTCTGGCATAAGTCAACGTATAAATGAACCCAAAGACTAAATGAACCCTAAAGAGATGAATTATATAACTTTGTAGAGAACTACAAGGCCACAATTTACATACTACTAGTAATAGAAGTATCTAGCATTAGAAGGCATTGCAGTTTCCGAGCATTTGTTAAAACTATTTTTCAAGTCCAATTCGATACCTATTGAAACCCTTGTGACCTACTTGAATTTTAGAATATACTTAGTTTTTGCCATTTCACAATATTTATTTCTTAATCTTTGTCTGTAAATTGAAAACATATTAAATCTGCTATTTATTTGTAAAGAAAAAAAATGGAAATAAAGTTAACTTTCTTTAAATAAAGAAATAAGAAATATGTGCTAAATTATTCTTGGACAATATATTTTAAAGTCCTGACTTTTTATAGCAATCTTAGCTTTGGCAATTATTCTAAAGGATTAAAATGTCAAATCAAGTACTTTATAAAAGGATAAATAATCAAACTGTTATTTTTCAAAATTAGTCATTCAACTTATTTGATAGATCCCTACTCTGACTTTTTATTTGAATATCAATATCAGTGTTTCTGCCAGAGCGCGTTTTTGCGTTTTTGGTGCACTATTTTCGGCCATGACGCAATGAAATTTAGTTAGTGCGTATTTTGTGACGCAAGAATTTCACCATAGCCAATCAGATATACAGACTACAGCTTTAACAATTTTTCCAAAGTCCGCAGATCCCCCCGATTTTTTACGGGTGGATTGTCACCGCGACGTCGCTACGACAGTTGTGACTTTCCGCTCGTACACCCAATGTGCTGCGGGATATCGTCACTGCGGATCACTGTGAAATATTGCAGCGATATTTCGCTCACTCGGATGACCATTTATCAATTTATTACACGTATTTACCTGCATCCATAGCGCTAAAATACACAAAAACACTCGCAGACTAAGTAACATCCATTAATAAATGAAAAATAATATTTCCATTGTTAATTAATATACACAAACTTTACACACGAGATGACCTCGGAAAAATGACTAGTCGGCGCTTCAAAAGAATCTGTCAATCTTTGATGTTTACACATGTGTAGACTGCAGAATCTTCAAAGAAGTGCCGACACTCAACTTGGCTTCAAACCTTTGTCATCTTTTTTTGTCCAGAAAAAAATACACGTGCTTACCCTGTAAACATGCAGTGGTTGGGCCAACCACGGAAAATCGTCAAAGGAAAATCGTGGTTGGGCCATGGTTGGCCCAACATTAATTAACATGTACTATAAATGCAGTTGTTGGCCCAACGTCGAACCAACCATAAGTTAACACCAGCGACATTTCTGCATTGGCCCAATAACGATAAATATGTACTTTAAAACAGATGTTGGGCCAACGTTTGATATATTCAACCACAAACATGAACACGTGCTCTTTTGTTATCAAGTATGTTGTGGTGACATTCTTATGGACCTTTCTGGTTTTTTGTAGCGGAACATTTAGCCACACTTTTTCTATTCATTGCTAGGTCAACTGCTCACAAACAGTATCACATAAGCACGTGTTCTTTTGTGCAAACCAGGTCAACCAGTGACTATGTATTATCTCAGTGTAGCGATTGGATAAAAAGTTAGCCAATTTACATAAAACTGTAAACACCAGAAAGGTCACTTGTGTCCACTAATCTGATAAATAGAATTATTTATGCATTTGTTATAAATGAAATCCAAACCTGCAAGTATTATTGCCCTGAAAGCTAAATAAGCGTTGCTGGTATCTGACACATCCATTGGGACACGCATTGTTGGAGCAGATATGAGGTATTTGATTGGCTGGCCTTCATTAAATTTTGACCAATCAACAACGTTTCTGTTATGATGCTCTACAGTTGTCATAATTACAGCGTTACCCTTTAAAGATAAAAAAGCTGTTCTGAAATATATTCATAATCCAGTATTCAAAAGCACAACATTATGAAAATTTTGGTATTTTAATTGTTCGTTTTTATTGGTTTTACAGCAGCCATCACAATTTAGGTTGTATGGCGCCAAAACAGGAAAGATAATTTTGGCTTACCTCTGATGTTTTGAATAATAGCTCTATAATAAATCCAATTCCAATTTCTAATTTTATAGCATGAAACATGGTGCAATGTTTAAAGCAAACAAACAATAGAAATATGTAAACAATCAATCTGTTAAAGACATATGTGAAGTCTGAAATAAACCCAGAATTCTAGAAATAGTTGTGTTGATGCTTTTTCTTCTTAAAAATATCAATTTTTCAGAATTAACTTACAACCAAGACTTCTCCATCATAATCTTTCCTTATCAACTTCTGTAGCCTCTCTTGCCTGAAATATAATGGGGGGAGGAAAATATTGAAAATGTAAATGAAAGATAGTGGGATGAAAATATTTCTATATAAACATCAGTATAGTCTGGTTGCCACCAATAACCTAGTGTAAGTGGAAGGAACTTCAGACCTAAGACAGTGGAACACAGCCGTATAGTCTGGTTCCCACCAATAACGTGGAAAGTGGAAGGAACTTCAGACCTAAGACTGTCGAACACAGCAGTATAGTCTGGTTCCTACCAATAACATAGTGTAAGTGGCACGAACTTCAGACCTAAGACTGTGGAACACAGCAGTATAGTCTGGTTCCAACCAATAACGTAGTGTAAGTGGAAGGAACTTCAGACCTAAGACTGTGGAACACAGCAGTATAGTCTGGTTCCCACCAATAACTTAGTGTAAATGGAAGGAACTTCAGACCTTAGACTGTGGAACACAGCAGTATAGTCTGGTTACCACCAATAACGTAGTGTAAGTGGAAGGAACTTCAGACCTAAGACTGTGGAACACAGCAGTATAGTCTGGTTCCCACCAATAACGTAGTGTAAGTGGAAGGAACTTCAGACCTAAGACTGTGGAACACAGCAGTATAGTCTGGTTCCCACCAATAACGTAGTGTAAGTGGAAGGAACTTCAGACCTAAGACTGTGGAACACAGCAGTATAGTCTGGTTCCTACCAATTACGTAGTGTAAGTGGAAGGAACTTCAGACCTAAGACTGTGGAACACAGCAGTATAGTCTGGTTCCCACCAATAACGTAGTGTAAGTGGAAGGAACTTCAGACGTAAGACTGTGGATTACACAGCAGTATGGTCTGGTTCCCACCAATAACGAACTTCAGACGTAAGACTGTGGAACACAGCAGTATAGTCTGGTTCCCACCAATAACATAGTGTAAGTTCAGACCTAAGACTGTGGAACACAGCAGTATAGTCTGGTTCCCACCAATAACGTAGTGTAAGTAGAAGGAACTTCAGACCTAAGACTGTATAACACAGCAGTGTAGTCTGGTTCCTACCAATAAAGAAGTGTAATTGGAAGGAACTTCAGACCTAAGACTGTGGAACACAGCTGTATAGTCTGGTTCCCACCAATAACGTAGTGTAAGTGGAAGGAACTTCAGACCTAAGACTGTGGAACACAGCAGTATAGTCTGGTTCCCACCAATAACGAAGTGTAAGTGGAAGGAACTTCAGACCTAAGACTGTGAAACACAGCAGTATAGTCTGGTTTCCACCAATAAGGTAGTGTAAGTGGAAGGAACTTCAGACCTAAGACTGTGGAACACAGCAGTATAGTCTGGTTCCCACCAATAAGGTAGTGTAAGTGGAAGGAACTTCTGACCTAAGACTGTGGAACACAGCTGTATAGTCTGGTTCCCATCAATAACATAGTGAAAGTGGAAGGAACTTCAGACGTAAGACTGTGGAACACAGCAGTATAGTCTGGTTCCCACCAATAACGTAGTGTAAGTGGAAGGAACTTCAGACCTTAGACTGTGGAACACAGCAGTATAGTCTGTTTCCCACCAATAACATAGTGTAATTGGAAGGAAATTCAGACCTAAGACTGTGGAACACAGCAGTATAGTCTTGTTCCAACCAATAAGGTAGTTGTAAGTAGAAGGAACTTCAGACCTAAGACTATGGGGAACACAGCAGTATAGTCTGGTTCCAACCAATAATGTAGTGTAAGTGGAAGGAACTTCAGACCTTAGATTCACAGTGGAACACAGCAGTATAGTCTGGTTCCCACCAATAACGTAGTGTAAGTGGAAGGAACTTCAGACCTAAGACTGTGGAACACAGCAAGTTATAGTCTGATTCCTACCAATAACTTAGTGTAAGTGGAAAGAACTTCAGACCTTAGACTGTGGAATACAGCAGTATAGTCTAGTTACTACCAATAATGTAGTATAAGTGAAGGGAACTTCAGACCTAAGACTCACTGTGGAACACAGCAGTATAGTCTGGTTCCTACCAATAACGTAGTGTAAGTGGAAGGAACTTCAGACCTAAGACTGTGGAACACAGCAGTATAGTCTGTTTCCCACCAATAAGGTAGTGTAAGTGGAGGGAACTGCAGACCTAAGACTGTGGAACACAGCAGTATAGTCTGACTTCAGACCTTAGACTGTGGAACACAGCAGTATAGTCTGGTTCCAACCAATTATGTAGTGAAAGTGGAAGGAACGTCAGACCTAAGACTGTGGAACACAGCAGTATAGACTGGTTCCAACCAATTACGTAGTGAAAGTGGAAGGAACTTCAGACGTAAGACTGTGGAACACAGCAGTTTAGTCTGGTTCCTACCAATACTGTAGTGTAAGTGGCAGGAACTTCAGACCTAAGACTGTGGAACACAGCAGTATAGTCTGGCTCCCACCAATAACCTTAGACTGTGGAACACAGCAGTATAGTCTGGTTCCCACCAATATGGTAGTGTAATTGGAAGGAAATTCATATTATACTTGAACTCAGCACTGACGGTTAAGAAGTTCAGTGACATGGCAGGACAAACGGTTGAGGTCTTAGCCCCCTCTGTTTGCATTTTTACAGTATGATTATGAATGTGAGTTATTACATGTGAATGTATGTTTAAGTTTTTAAAAAAAGGAACGACCTCAGGAAATAATGATGTACAGTATGTCATCAATATTTTTTTGACATTTGGAATTTGACATTTTTTTATGTATATGTTCAGTGACTTTGAAAACATGGCGTCAGAGGCTTATCCCTTTGCATGTATACAATATGATTATGATATAAAAATGTCAAATGACACACATGAATGTGCGTAAAAGTTTTTAAAAAAGGAACGACCTGCGAAAACATTGACGTATGTAAAAATTTACACCTTTTTTTTATTTACCATCAATATTTTATTTGACATTTGGAAAAAAATTTTTTTATGTATATGGTAATTTATTATGTGAACTTTAAAATACATTAGCAACTGAGCTTACATGATAATATTTATTGATCATTTTACAAGATAATTCTCAGAAATGGTACAATTTATTGTTGTCACATAATGCTCTGCAACGTGACCTATGATTTTATAGTCTTAATTAAATAACAATACAAACAAGAGCACCGCTAGGCGGAGCATTATATGCCCGAAAGTGTTTTTTTTTTTCAGTAAAGATGAAGCATTTGTAAGACATGGGACTAAAATAAAGTATTACCTCCTTCAAATAACAATCCTCCTTTGAAGTTTCAATATTGTGGTCCAAATGGAACTTTAAGTTATGCCCCAGAAACTCTTTTCAATTCTAAGGTAAAAGTGACCTTGACCGTTGACCTTGTGACCCCAAAATCATTAGGGGTCTTTTACCCAATATGGACAATCATACTATGAAGCTTATACACAGTAGGCCAAATGATACTTAAGTTGTATTCCGAAAACTGTTTTCAGTTTTAAGGTAATAGTGACCTTGACCTTGTGACCCCAAAATCAATAGGGGTCTTCTACCCAATATGGACAATCATCCTATGAAGTTTGAATATTGTGGGCTAAATGGAACTAAAGTCATGCTCAAGAAACTGTTTTCAATTTCTAAGTAATAGTGACCTTGACCTTTGACCTTGTGACCCCAAAATCAATAGGGGTCTTCTACCCAATATGGACAATCATCCTATGAAGTTTGAACACTGTGGGCCAAATAGAACTTAAGTTATGCTCCGGAAACTGTTTTCAGTTTTAAGGTCATAGTGACCTTGACCTTTGACCTGTGACCCCAAAATCTATAGGGGTCTTCTACCAAATAAGGACAATCATCCTATGAAGTTTGAACACTGAAGGACAAATGGAACTTAAGTTATGCTCCGGAAACTGTTTTCAGTTTTAAGGTCATAGTGACCTTGAACTTTGACCTTGTGACCCCAAAATCAATAGGGGTCTTTTACCCAATATGGACAATCATCCTATGAAGTTTGAACACTGTGGACAAAATGGAACTTAAGTTATGCTCCGGAAACTGTTTTCAGTATTTAGGTAATAGTGACCTTGACCTTTAACCTTGTGACCCCAAAATCAATAGGGGTCTTCTACCCAATATGGACAATCATCCTATGAAGTTTGAATATTGTGGGCCAAATGGAACTTAAGTTATGCTCCGGAAACCAAATTGCTAACGTTTTCAGTTTTAAGGTCATAGTGACCTTGACCTTTGACCTTATGACCCCAAAATCAATAGGGGTCTTCTACCCAATATGGACAATCATCCTATGAAGTTTGAATATTGTGGGCCAAATGGAACTTAAGTTATGCTCCGGAAACCAAATTGCTAACGTTTTCAGTTTTAAGGTCATAGTGACCTTGACCTTTGACCTTATGACCCCAAAATCAATAGGGGTCTTCTACCCAATATGGACAATCATCCTATGAAGTTTGAATATTGTGGGCCAAATGGAACTTAAGTTATGCTCCGGAAACCAAATTGCTAACGGACGGACGGACGGACGGACGCCAGGGGGTATAACATAATATGTCCGAAATTCTTTCGGGCATATAATAAAAAAGAAGAAATAAACAAACTTATGACTTTTGAATATATTTAAATTTCCATGCTTTTGCTAATTAGTGTCACTTGCAAGTTAATGATTTTGTATGCTTTTGCTAATTATAGGTACATGTAGCCAAACGGTAAGGGTCACTACAACTTTTGAATATACATGTATATCAATTTCTATGTTTTTGCTAATTTCCGGGTGCCAAGCGGTAAGGGTCACTGACCTAATTACAAAAGGTACTTGCTACCTACTGTCATGGGTTCGAATCCTGCCTTGGACTATTGATGATTTCATGTAAGAGGCTATCCAGCTAGTTTACTCAGATGCCAACTTGTTTTTAGAGTCTTAAAACAAAAAAACAAAAAACAAAAAAAAAACTAATAAAACATAATGTTATTTTTTGGTGAAATTTTTACTCACATTTGCCAACCAAAATGTCTACTGTACACCATATCAATTCCTCCATCCATAAAACCAAAACTGTTAGCAGGAGAAACCTTTATTAAATAGAAACAGAAATATGTCACAAAACATGTACTGGTTCAGAGGAGGGGGGGGTGGGGTGGAGAGAGAAGGAATGGTCGGGGGTCAAGATATACTAGTGAAAATCAGCACAAATTTGACCGGAAATTATTACATGTAATATAATGTCAAACCCAATAATTATGGAATATGCATTACCCATTATCAAAATTTTACAACCCTTTATCTGGTAAAATATAATTCCTGTTAAATGTCTCTGCACTGAGAGTATTTAAATTCCCAGTCTATTTTGATGCCAAAATAAAAAAAGGACATTGATTCAGTAGTGCATGTAACAAATTCAGCTCTTTTCACACGCTATCCTCAGTACTCACAAAAGGATGTTTGATGGGCAGGGGAGTCCACTTCACTTACATTTAAATTACATGTACATGAAGTCCCAATTTCATGTACAACTGTACTATAGTAGTGCTTGTTCATAAATCCATGCAGAAGAATGCCACAATTGATGTTTCAATTTAATCTTATAAGCAGTTTCTCTGGTGAAATGTTTTATACAGTAACTGTTGTTGATTTTGGACCCAACAGTTTCAATTAAAAGGTGAAACCAAAGAGTTATTCGGACAACCTTACTGCTACTCATCAAAACACAAGAACTGTCGTTAACAGACAAACCCCTACCCCCCCCCCCCCCCCCCCACACACACACACACAATTAGGGCCCAGTAAAGGAATTTAGACCTTTACTTCCATTAAAGTCATGGTTACAATAAAAAAGTGATACATAAATATAGAAAACATTCTCATATTATCTGAGTGAGCCTACTTATTTCAAAAACCATCTGTGAATGTATGACAAACACGTGACTACGACACAACCATCAATGTAGTATTTTCACATTGTATAACCAACATCTTTTAAACTGTTGACCTGACCTTTGATTGCGACAAGTTTTCCTAATGCCCCACAGACGTGTGCCTAGTTATTTCAAAATCCATTCAGGGATGACAGAATTGATGACTGGATATAACAATTAATGCACTTTTATTAATCTAAAGTCCTAGCTTGACCTTGATCTTTAAGCTACAAACACATCACAAATTATTTTAAAGAACTATATCTTTGAACAGAATTATTACTACAAAATCTGTCACTGAATGACAAAAAGACATGGACAGGTTAAAACGATCAATGCACTATCATGTCAAGACTTCTGACATTCAAGAATGAACTTGACCTTTGGGCTGCTGAGCTAAATTTTGTTCATTACATATCATCTTAATAAGCAGCATGTTTATGCATAATTATTTCAAGTTAATCAATTAATGACCAAGCTATGCATAAAAGAAAAAAATCTATTTACAACCTTTGCAACCATGACCTTGACCTTTGAACTTGATACTGCACTGACCTTATGCTTATGGGGGGATGGCACATAATAACAAATATGTCTTAAAGATCAATTGAAATGCCAGAGTCCATTTACTACAATCATGATATAAAGGTAATATTTAATAAATATATAAATATTTCTTACAATAGCATCAGCAGCTGGTCCATCTTTGAAAATGTCCCCTTTGTAAACCTGTTTAAATAAAAACAATATTATCATTGACAATAATTATAAATAATATAACTTGTTTGTATTCTGTATGAAAATATTCTGATTGAACATGCATACCATATTTATAATCTTAATAAAGAGTATAAAGCTATACATGTAAACCTGCTGCAAAAATAATTATCATCTTAAAAGGATACTTCTAAAATGCTTTCATTTAAGAAATATGGTAGTAAATTGCCTCAAAAGCAAATTGCTCATCTATAAAATCATCGCTAAATGGATAAAATCCAACTTAAAATAGCAGAAATTAACATTGTTTTGTTTTTGAACATTTTTTGTTTATGTACAATATTCATGTGTGTTAAATATTTTCAGAGATGTTCTATGTTACAAATTTCTCTTTAAGATTTTGAAAACAATATTGGTTTGAAGGTTGATTAATTTCATAAAAAATATTTCATAAGCTACAGCTTTATACCTTTTAATGCGTACATAAAGAGAATAAATAAAAAATACAATTTGGTGTCAAAAATATGAAAGCACAAAAATAACTTCATGAATACTCTATTTGGTGTCAAAAATATGAAAGCACAAAAATGACTTCATGAATACGTACTCAATTTGGTGTCAAAAATATGAAAGCACAAAAAATAACTTCATAAATACTCTATTTGGTGTCAAAAATATGAAAGCACAAAAATAACTTCATGAATACTCTATTTGGTGTCAAAAATATGAAAGCACAAAAATAATTTCATGAATACTCTATTTGGTGTCAAAAATATGAAAGTACAAACATAAATTCATGAATACTCTATTTGGTGTCAAAAATATGAAAGCACAAAAATAACTTCATGAATACTCTATTTGGTGTCAAAGATATGAAAGCACTTAAAATAACTCCATGAATACTCTATTTGGTGTCAAAAATATGAAAGCACAAAAATAACTTCATAAATACTCTATTTGGTGTCAAAAAATATAAAAGCACAAATATAACTTCATGAATACAGTTATGAAAGCACAAAAAATACCTTCATGAATTAACTTAAATACTGTACTTTATCTGGTGCCACAATATCAAAGCACAGAAAAAAAATTAAAGAATAAATTAAGACCTGTACTCTATTTGGTAAGCACAAAAAATAACTTCATGAATGAATTAATACCTGTACTCTATCTGGAATATAATCTTTGAAATGAAGTCTCCACTCATCAACCAGCCTCTGCTGTAGATCACAAAATTTATAAATGACCTTGACCTTTTGCTCCTTCTCTGTTTGCCCTTGGTCTTTCTTTACCTCAGACACTTCATTACCACCCTGTGCCTCTTGCCTTTGTTCATTTGCATCCATTTTAATAGTACTTGGATAATGAAGCAATAAGTTTATCTTGTATTGCAAACAATCAATTGGAGTTTGATTCTGAAAATATAAATTCTTAATAATGATTCTGTGCCAATTCTCTCCCATTTCCACTCGGATTCCGTGCCAAAATTTCCAACAGAAAGGTTTGTCTTTTGTTTTATAAGCCTGTTAACAATGTTCATAAGATTTTTCAAAGTTAAAGAAGTGGGATATATTTTGCACTTTTTTGGAAACATTTGCTGGTGTGTTAAACTGGAAATATTTTGTGTCATTAAGTTAGGAAAATTCAAGCTGTAAAAAGAGCAGATTTAATAAAGGCCCTTATTTTAATGGAATCAATAACCTATGATGTAAAGAAATTTTGTACCAGTGTATATATATATGATAGACACTGATGTTCTACATTAACAGTTCTATTCAATTGAAAATTTTTATGCAAGCTTAACTTCAGCTGAGCTTCTTTTGTACGGTATTTCAGCTAGTGGAAAATTTAATAATAATGAGGAAAATCAACATTTTTTCGCAATTTATATCACATTGTAAAAATTCATATATTTTTTTATTAACGCAACTATTACTATCAACCTCATGATAGCCAATTGCATGTTGCAGCTACTATTAAGCAGGAGACCCAAAAATCATTAACAGGGCAAAAATATTTTTTATTCAAGGCCAAAAACTCAGCTGAAAATCCTTCAACTGGAAAACCCGTGTACTTCAGCTTAAATGATCAATCCTGTAAAGTTTCATTAAAATTGCATTAGTGGTATAAGAGGACAAATTTAAAAAAAAATTAAAATCATTAAAGGGGCATTACTCTGACAATTATCATAAAATTGAAAAATGTTGATTACATGCACAACTAGACATAGTATTGATTATTACTGTAATGTTTTGATAAAAATGCACTTGTTTCTGAAGAGTAGTCTAAACAAGTAGCTGGCAACACACAAAAAAACACCTTTTTTATTCAAGGGACATAAATAGGCCAAAAATCATTTAAGTGGAAAGCTACTAATCAATCTGGTAAACTTAGTTCAATAAAATTGCATTAGTGGTATAAGAGTATTCTGAACAAACTTTATTAACACCTTTTTATTAAAGGGCCATAACTCTGCCAAATGTCATTTAAAAAAAACCATGTAATATACTCAATAACTTGAGCCACAAATCAATCCTGTTAAGTTTCAATGAAATTGCATTAGTAGTATAAGAATAGTAGTCCAGACAAACTTTGAAAATAAAAATAATTAAAGGGCCATAACTCTATCAAAAATCATTGAACCAAAAAAAAACACGATGATATGCACAACTAGACTTGGAACTGATCATTCCTATAAAGTGTGGATGAAAATGCACCAGCAGTTTCTAAGAAGTAGTTCAAACCAGATTCTGTGCAGCTGGCAACACACAAAAAATACCTTTTTAATCAAGGGCCATAAATCATCCAAAAATCATTCTACTAGAAAACCCATTTAATATGCAAAAGGACTTGAGCAACATATCAATCTTGTAAAGTTTTATTGAAATTGCTTCAGTGGTATAGAAGCAGTAGTCCAGACAAACTTTAAAATTAAAAATCATTAATGGGCTATAACTCTAAAAAAATCATTGAACCGGAAGATGACGACAATATGCACAACAAGACTTGTTACTGATCATTCCTGTAAAGTTTAGAAGAAATTGCACCAGTTGTTTTTGAGGAGAAATCCAAACAAGTTGTGACAGACAGACAGACAAACAGAAAGATGACGGAGAAGTGATCTCTATATGTTGCCACTGCTTGGTAGAGGCGACACAAAAATGGATGATCTGAGTGAAGAAAAACCGTTATATTAACAACTCTGGCCTTTTTAATGAACTCAGGTAGTGTTCTGCACATATTAACTAGTATTTCTTGGTTGATAAATTTCTATCTCAACTAGTTTGACCAAGTCATGAACGTTCATACAGAGGTCATTCAATTTTTCTTACATCCACAAAACATGATGAATCAGAAGATTAGAATGTGTATGATGGTAATATTTATAAATAGTAACTTATAGATCTACAACTTCATTATTACTTACTGTATTCAAAATTAAATATGAAAAAGAATAATTTAAATATTATCCTAATAAAACATTTTCAACACAATAAAGAGATATTATAAGTTAATCATAAGGTTAAAGTTCTATTCAGTATACATGATTCTGTTCTGGAAATAAGCCAACATGTATTATATTCAGCAATTTTTACATTCTGTCTCATCAGATGAAAAACTTTAGAACATTTAAAAGGGTTTAAAGAACATCAGCTTAAAAATTAACTTTAAACTTTTAAATTAGCTCTCAGCTGCATTCTTCAAGATGAGTCAACAATTTTTAAATAGAAGAATCAAATCACAAATGGTTGGTTGAAGAAACCATTAACATGCTGAATAAAACTGTGTGATCTATATTTGCTATGCTATAAATACAGAACAGTCATTAATTAGGAATTTCAATATCAAAATACAAATATTGAGCTACCACCAGTACATATAGCCACTAGTCAGACGGCCTGGGTCTGAAGTCCAGTAGGCTGAGTGGCCCTAAAGCTCTCACTGGATACTGATGTCAAATAATCACTTTTGTTTCCTCAGGAGCAATTTAGTAACGATTTTAAAAAACACACCTGACAATTGTTCATGCAGCTGACGAATTTCATAATAATGCTCACAGACTAACAAACACATTGTTCTTAATGTCTGAGCTTATAATTTAAATATATGAGCCGCGTCACAACAAAACCAACATAATGGGTTTGTGACCAGCATGGATCAAGACCAACCTGCCCATCCGCGCAGTCTGATCAGGATCCATGCTGTT